ACTCTTGGTACATACATACATACATACATACATACAAATAACCATATATACAGTATATATGACACAAGATAGTTATAGAAGTTCACAGAACTGACTCAGCAACAGCTGAGTAAAACTGTTTCATCTGAGCATGTATCAAATATCGCATTATTTAATGAGTTATCGCATATCGCATTTTTTTTCAATATCGCACAGCCCTAGTCAACATGAAATCAAAATTCACCATTGATTGACCTTCTTAATACATGTTTCTGGTTTTATTGTGCAAAATTAATCAGTACACATTATTCCAAAGAAAAAAGTTCATAATCTTTCATTGAATTTTATTTCCTTTTTTCCACCTTGCTCCATTTTGATATTCATCATTTAAACTTTTGTTTATTTTTGAACAAAATATTTGGATTTTTTTTTTATTCTTTGAAGAAAAAACATCCTAATTAAAAAAAAAAAGTTTTTGCTGATTGAATATCTTGTATCATCAGAAATATGTTGCCTAATAGAATTGATTCATCTTGACTGCAAATAGTTAGAAATTTAATTCCATTTATGCAGTATTTATATGAAATATTTAAGAAATGCATCATATATTATTTACTAACCACTTTTTAATATGTTCCTATAATGCACTACCATTATATTTTGTTCCTAGACTTTCTCTTATCAAGAAATATCCCTGATCTGAATTTATTTTTTGCGCAAAATTGCATGGCTTTATCCCAAGTGCGTGTTTAAAGACATGCAAACTCTTGGTCAACATCATTAGATCACAGCTAGTGTTGACAGATGTCTGATGACGCACGTCGGTCAATTACAACTTTCTTTGTCCTTTTCTTTCACAATGTGACTTCCCTTCTTATCACCTATTAAAGGGCAGCGTCCCAAACCTACATGTGTCCCAGGACACCTGGCATCGTGTGGGCGCATATTATCCAAGCCCAATGTCTTCTACACCGGGGGCCTCTTAGCGTGGGCTATTAGAGGAATAATGGGCCGAACGGAAGCAGTGTGTATGTGAGAAGACTGGGAATGACATTATAATGACGCAAAAGACTGTTTTGGAATGAGATTATCATACAGATGGAGGGAAAAGTTTTGACTGCTTGTTTCCAGAATTATGAATGATAGACCCCCTCCAAGCTTTGGCAATCTGCTGTATGCTTTGTACATTGTTACACTGTGGGAAATATCCGGAGAGGTAACTGTTAGGATGTTTTTCTTTTCATCTCTATGTTTTTTGATGGGTTTGACAAATTAATACTTAAGTTAATAAATTTTTTTGGCTCTTATTGAAATCTAACCACTGTTGAGGGTAACACTTTAGAATAGGGAACACATATTCACTAATAATTAACAGTTTTCCCTCAATAAAATCTTAATTTGCTGCTTATTAATAGTTAGTAAGGTAGTTGTTAAGTTTAGGTATGGAGTAGGATTAAGGGATCTAAAATATGGTCATGCAGAATAAGCCATTAATATGTGCTTTGTAAGTACTAATAAACAGCCAATATGCTGCTAATATGCGTGCTAATAAGCAGCTAGTTAATAGTGAGAATTGGTCCTCAAAATAAAGTGTTACCCTATTCATTTTAGTCTTACTATTTTTACGTAATGTAATTTTAAGGGCTTTTTGTCATTTTTATTAGTCATTTTTTATACTACTGTTTAGGTTCAATTTATTTTTATTTCAGTTTTAGTTCGTTTTTAGTTTTTAATTATTTCAATTATTTAAAGTAAATGTACAGCAAATTTTCAGCTTTATTTAAATAACACAAATGTTTAAATGTTTTAGTTTTAGTTCTCTTTTTACTTAATGATAATAACCCTGATGTTGAGAATTTTTTACCCCAAAATCTAAATTCCTCCAGAGTTTGGGATGCAAGAGCTTGTTGCATAACCAGATGAAATATCGTTATAGTTGAATTTCCGATAAACCAGTTGCAGGGCTATAATCTCATTGGGTTTGTGGCAGCCTCTGTAATGGCATTACTTGCGTTCTGGACTTCCCGATGGGGCTCCAGGCCGGACGCGGTGGCAGTAACCAGGCCTCGCGAGTGTCGTCAGCCCTGGTAATGCGTCTGCTGTTTTTCTGCATGTGGTGACAGTATTATTGTACACAGCACACAACAGTTTGCCCAAGGTCTGTACTTCACGGTTTCAAGTTTCTTGACATGCACACAGAATGCAAACAGTGTGTGCAATACTATGAAATGCTTATGTGTAGCTTAACTCTGGACATCACAACTGAAAGTTGAGAGTAGGGTAGAGAAAGACAAACAACACAAAGGATATTGTTGGTGTTTGGATGTTGCCAGTGCTTAATTTGTAAATTCCGAGGTGCCGGAACAAGGGGGCTTGGCAGATCCGGCAAGTTAGTGGGGTGGGGAAAGGTAACGGAACATAGCCTATGTGCAATCTCTGTGGGGTTTTCTATCCAAATATTTTGATGTACATGACCATTTGTGCATGTAAAACACCAACACAGTCACAGCCCAAATTCACAGCCAAAAACACAGCCCTCGACATTTGTATTGAATTCAAAAGTTTAAACTCGTATTCATTTTGTGCACGAGCTTGTGCAAGTGGAGGCTGCTGGTGTATGGGCATATAAGCATTTAATCATAAGCATATTTCATCAGTTTTTCAGCGTCTCCTTGCAGCATTGTCCATCAACACAAATAGCTCTCTCTGAAGTGTCCATCACGACAAGTTCCCTTCAAGATATAATGTGAAGCATGCGACTTGCATGCTTTAAGTTTCAGAAAACCATAAGTGCATTTATATGTACCTAATCATTTTCAATCCCTGGGTCGCAAGACTTAAAAAATGGGTCGATGATTTAAGGAAAATGTATAGGCCTATAGCCTATGTAAGTTAGCCTACATTAAATTGTATTTTTTTCATAAAATCATAGTCTAAAATAAATTAATAAATAAGATAAATATATTTGCCAAATAACAGATTAACAAAACAAAAGAAAAAAACTCTAAGACAAATAGTAGCTAATATGCTGCTGAGTTTGGTTCATTTTTGTGAAGTGCGGCGCTCGACAAACAAGTTCAAGGAAAGTTTCAGAAAGGAAACTGAGATGACAGAAAGCGCATCCTGTATGTTTTCTTTATTTTGCGAAAGCACATGTTCTGTTTTTAGTGTATACAAATAAAAGTAGCTAAACTTTGCAGTCTTGAATGATGTCTTACTCATATTGGTATGTATTTCGCGTCTTGCAAAAATGTGCCCCCAGGTACGTATTTGCCATGAGACTGGGTTGCTCATATCTGTATGACCATAAATCTCGGAGTATTTTAGTTGTTTCTACTGGTAAAAGGAAACAGTTCAAGTGATCATGCATTCTAGCATTGCAAACTTGAATTCGTTTTGGCTTGTTTATAGCTACTTATACTTTTTTGCTCTTGTTCTGTATATATTATATATTTTAGTATTCTTATGCTTGGCTTGACTTTTAGCATTATATGAGATGGGGGATCCCCCAAATGAGGTGCCAGATTAGATTTCGGAGGTGCCGGGTCCAGATCCGGCTTGTTCCGGCACAAATTAAGCCCTGAATATTAAGAATCTCATATGTTTTTCCTAAAATTCCTTAGGAGAAATTAAAACTATGCATTCGAATAGAAATTTCTGACTTTTGATTGTAGATTTTTATATATTGGCGGTGCATAGTTTGTTATAATGTTCATGATGATGATGATGATGTGAACATTTATTTATTTTGCTTTTATTTAGCCAATTATCCACAGCTTCGCAACAGAGAGACACAGTAAAAATGTCACTTTTAGACAGATAAAACTGAGAAAATGTGAAAAAAAAAATGCACAAAAAATAGTACTGTCAAGGTATATGTGTTTTTAATTGGGATTTGTGCAAATGCAACATAAGTTTCCTTTGGTCTCCATTTATTTTCATTACTTATAAGAGTTTGCAGACTCTTTTGTCGTTTTCAAGCTATAGAAAAATTTTAAACTACTGTACAATGCAAAAGCCAACTTTGGACTGTAATTTCTTGGCTGCGACAATTTATCGTCATGACACAAAGACGCAGTGCAGCACTTTTATCACATCGTTTATCAGGCTGTCAGTCAAATCCATAGAATTGTTTAAGAGCAGGTCAATAGCAGGTGTTAAATGTATTTATGTCACTCATGTTTCCCTATTGAAAAAAGCCTCTCAGCTGAAATCTTATCAAACTGTAAATCCAATAATGGTGCTTTGTCGTGTTCTGGCAAAGACTGAGAGGTGGATATGTTAGTATATTGTTAGAAATATGTTAGAAATATGTTGTCATTGTTTTACAAACCATTTTGTTTAGTCTGTCTTGTTTGTAAGATGCCTGTGATCTTTATATCAGTGACACTGGCATGTGATTGGTCGATTGTGACAGTTGGCCAACTGTTGCTTCATCTGCTAGGAAAAAACTCTAGTTTGTCTTGTCATGTCTAAATTTGATA